GCCTACTTCCTGGGTTGTGCAATCCTAGACTTGGTTCTGTCTGGAAGGCTGTCAGGGAGGCCAACCACCCAGCCAGGCTTCTACCCATCTGCTTGCCCAGCCTGGTAGCTTCCACCATGCACTGTCAAAGCTCTGCCCGGCCAACCTGTTCCCTCCAGCTGTTCACACTGCCTCTCATGCTCCTTCTCTTCCTCCCCGCCACTGCTACAGCCTCATTGTTTGCCCTCCCTCCTTCATGCATCTCTCAAGGCCAATATGGGCTGGACCGTGGACTCCCCCAAGACAGGGTCTGTACCACTAGGAGGGCCTAGGATAACACCTCCTCTTTGCTGCCACTTGTCACCTAGCCTTGATGGGCAGCTGGTGGTACCTTCCAAGGCAGGTGGCACACACTGACCCCAAGATCCGACAAGTATGAGAAGGAAGATTGTGTATGAGATGGCATGGTAGAGACATCCTTCACTCTCCAACAGTCTGTTCAAGGAGCCAGAACCCAGACCTACAAGGGCCACAGCTTGCTTATCTGTACTCACTCTTACTCTCATTGACTGTAGTGGTTCCTTTGGCTGGCGTTTCTCAGGGAGCCTCTGTCCATGCTCACATACCCTCCCTCCATACCACGGCTTCTCCTCTGGCCTCCGTTTACTCTTCTCTTCTGTACACTGAGGGTCACCCTGTGCCTGTGACACAGAATCCAACACAGCAGCTCCGTGGCCTTGGTTTCTACTCCAGACTCAGCAGTTGAGACGTTGTGGCTTATTGGATTTTATTTTCTATCTTTAACAAAGTTGTTACCAAGCAAGTTACATGTGTAGAAAAACTGGAAAATGCATTTCTGTTTTCATGGGCACCCTTCAGTCATGTCCCCTGCCTCAGTGTCTTCTGCTGGTGCGTACTCACGAGCACACACATGGCTGTGGACTGTGTCCACTCATCCTTGGGGAGCCACCCTCTGTGCCTGGGGAGCTCTGACCGTCAGGGTCACTGGTCACCTTGAAACCAGTCTCACCCAGTAAGCTAGGTTGGCTGAGAGCAGGTTTCCATTTCTCTGGAGGAGGTAACCCACCTGGTCTGGCTTGGTCCAACCTTTCCTTGTCTTAGGGCTGTTGGTTGGGACACGGTGGGCCCTAAACTCTGGAGCCTGGGATCCCAGACAACTCAGGTCTCCACCCCCGCCGGGGGCTGCTGTTCCCAGGTTTAGAGAACCAGAAGCTGGTGGGTCCAGGTGGCAGGGTCAGGATATGGGAGAGATGTTCAGGGGTCTGTAACCTCATCGTGTATTGAGGGAGGGAAGCTCTTCAAAGTCAAGCCTGGGATCAGCCTGCAAGGGGGGTGGGGGTGGGCAGATTCTTGGCGAGCACAGGCGCCTGTCTCCTGGTGACCTTACTTTCCTACTTGTCTTCTCTGTTTTGGGAGGGGGGGTATGTGTGTTTTTGTATGCTGTTCTTGGCCTATTTATCTTCATCTCTGCCCACCCCTACCCCCTATCTCTCCCTTCCTACTTGGCATACTGAAAGGAACATGGGCTACAACATCAACTACTTTTTGTACCATTTACTGCCTGTGTGACCTTGGGTGAGTCACTTAATGTCCTAAATCTCCCAGGTCTATGTATGGATAATGTGAGCTTATACAAGGCCAAAGCCCAGCATGTATGTTGGCTCCTTCAGAAAAGAGCAGTTCTTGTAGGTGGGGAAGCTGAGATTCACACCAGGGCTTTGACCCCGGGTCCAGTGCTCCCTGCTTCACAGGGCTGCCTCCTCTATGGCTGTAGAAGGAGAATGAAGTCTAGGAGCCTTCAGACAGCCACAGCAGGCCTGACTGGTCTCAGCTGGTTCCAGGAGCTAGTCCCTGCAGAGCTCCAGTTCCCCACACTGTCCCCATAGCCCTCCAGAGCAGCAGTGAAGCTGAAGCTGAGATGGTGGCCTTTGGGCTTGTGGGCCTGGGCTTATTTGCATGGGGGCTCTAAATAGACAGCACACCTTGCTTTTGTGCTATTATTTCTGTCCTTGCCTTTCCACCACCGCTCAGCCATTCTGTGAGGTAGGTGGGCAGACTCTGGCCCCATTGTGCACAGGGAGACCTAGGGCCCAGAGAGACCCAGGACTTCTCTCCAGGTCATAATCAGTAGGAAAGGGTGCCCTCCTCAGGGTGGTATTGTTTAGGGCAAGGAGATGATAGAACTTGGCCAGGGCCCATGTCCTTGTTTTAGTCCCAGGATGTCAGGGCAGAGCTGATCATCTATCTGTTGCTGCTGGGTAACTAGGGCTACCACACAGATCACGGATCCCCCCCTAGGCGCTGTGGCCTGACTGTGTAGGTTTGGGAGTTCTGGCCTGCTGTGATAATGGTTTTCCCTCCCGAGGCTTCCGTGAGTGGCAGCTGCTCCCAGTGTGACTCTAGGGAGCTGGAGGGCAGATCTGTTGGGCCGGGCTCAGACTCACCGTCTGGGGGCTTCTCTGGCCTCCAGGCCTCCTCCACGCAGCCCCCAGAGGTTCCCGTGTAGCTCCTCCTTCTGGGAAGACTTGGGGAGGGAAAGCCATGGAACTCTAAGGCCATCTGGACTAGTCCCTAAAGGGGTGCGGCGGGAAGGAGGAGCAGCCCAGCAGGTGTTGGAACTCCCAGGTACCCCAGGTTGAGTTACTCTGTGTTTCCCTATCTGAGAACTAGAATCAGTTTCCAGCATTGTCTTCCAGGCTGTTGGGCAGGTGGAAGGAAGGTGCACAGGTGTGTGTGTTGCAGGGGGGAGTACTCTAAGTGAGAAGAGGTGACAGTGATACAAGGACCCCTCCCTGAGATCTGTTGCAGTGATGCTGGCCTTGGCCTATATGAGTTCTCATCCTCATGACAGCCCTGAACCTAGGAATCATTCATTCTTCATCTGGAAAATGGGGTAACTAAGGTTCAGAGAGGCCAAGTGACCTGTCCAGAGTCCCACAGCCAAGTGAGTGTGGGCTTCTTGTGCCCAGACAGCCTAGCCATCATTTTGCCATGTGAGTTTGCTCTGAGGCACTTAAAAAGTTGCTCAATGCCACATTGCAGTTATCCTGTTAGGATGTAAGTGTGAGACTTAGCTTTGCCTGCTGCGACACAGACATGTGGCAAGTGTGTGCTGTGTGTTTTTAAGTGCTGTTGAGTTGGTTCTGACTCACAGCGACCCTATATAGGGTTTCCAAGGAGAAGCTGATGGGTTTGAACTGCTGACCTTGTGGTTCAGAGTCCAGTACTGATCCTAAAGCGTGTAGGAGCCAATTATTCTGGAACCCCAGGGATCACTCACCTGTGTACTTGATGCCTTGGCCTACCTGGGAGTTGGGGGTAGGAAGACTAAGATGTCCTTTTGCTAACAGCCATCTTGCAGCCTTGTTCTTCACACTGCCTGTGCACACAGACTCTCAGGCATACTCTAGCTGTGCAGTCATACTCATGCAGACCCGCGGCATCCCTCATTCATGCTCAGACTCCAACATGCATGCTCCCGTCTCCAGCCCAGGGAGGAGCCAGCAGCAGCCCACAGTGGCTCCCCCTCCCTGTCTGCTAAGAGGACTTAGGGGTGGCCTGGATCTCCAACACTCACAGCCCACTTGATGGGTCTCAGGCTGAAGGCTTTGGGGCTTGGGCTCTGGTGGGAGCTCACACACCCACTTTTATTCTCATGAGTAGGAGGCAAGGCTGGCAGGGGATATGGTGGGGTCTGCCCCACCTGGCTCTTCCCCTCTGCTCTGGCCTTGGAGGCCTGGCTAGGCCTGCTGGGTGGACTGAGGTCAGTATTTCCTGTGAGCTCATCTGGACTTGATTGGCTGCCCTGGCCGCCTTATGGGGCTGCAGGGAACTGTCTGAGGGTGGGGTGACTGCTCTGTGTACTTGCCATGTGTGTGTTAGTAGGGGTGCATGTCAGTCTGCCTCTGTGTGCTGACTTGTGCTCAGGATCATGTGAGCATTCATTCAGCCATGAGTATGGTGCCCACTAGTGGGGTCTAGGCCTGTGAGCATGCACATGTTTAGCCTCTGCCGTGAATGGTAACCTGAGAGGACCCCTGGGGTTCACCTTCTATAAGTGAAGAATGGAGGTGTGGTATGGTAGGTCTGACACATGCCCTGGGTGCCACTTAGGGGGTTCACTTACGAGCAGTTTCTGTTCGCCATCGCAGTTTCCATCACCAGCTATGGAAGATCCTTCAGCAATTTCAAATGAATTGTCGTCAGCACTATTTTCTGTAGCTACACCTCTGTGTGTGTGGGGCCAGCCTGTGAGGTTTAAAGGGCATATTCAGTGTTTTATTCAGCATTAAAATGATATAATACATGAGAAAAATAGTTTAAAAAAAGCTTGTAAGGGGCTCTTGAGCCCAAGAGGCCCAGGTTCAGAGGGTCAGGCACACTGATGTGAGTGGGCCTCTCTCTGCTGTGGTCCAGCATGTAGTGGGTGCTGACTTAGCTGAACCCCAGCTTAATGTTCTGGTTGAGCCACAGGGTTTCTGGTTCCCTGTTGAAAAATGGGAGCGGTTGCCTTGACTATCTGCTGGGTAGTTATGAGCAAAAAGAAGTTTTGTAAACCAGAAGAGCTGCATGGGGCAGAGTGGGGGGAGAGGGTACTGTTCTGCCCATCTTGACCCACAACTACTGGCATTGAGGTGCTTGGAGCCCAGCACATGCTAGGTGTCTGGCAGGCAGTAGGTGCTGAGGGAGGCTGAGATGAATGACTTGAGGTTCACAAACTCAGGTAGACTTTTGAGAGAAGTGAAAGGGTGCCATTCAAGGGCTAGTCAGCTAGTGCCCAGTGAGCCTGAAGTCCTCACATTTTCCACTTCTGCTGTGGATGCCACATCTCGAGACATACATAAAACTCTTGGTTCTTTATCTACTATATTCAAATGCCGTGTGGGTCAAACCCAGTGGTGTAAGGGTACTTACCTGCCTCCCCTGCCTGTTCCCGCTAGCCCTGTCCTGCCTGCCCAGCCTCACCCTGTCATTTCTGCAGGCCTGCCATAGAGCCCACCATGGCACCATTCCTGCGCATCGCTTTCAACTCCTACGAGCTGGGCTCCATGCAGACTGCGGACGAGGCGAGCCAGCCTTTCTGTGCTGTCAAGATGAAGGAGGCGCTCAGCACAGGTAGAGCTAGAGGTTGAGACCCTGGAGGGGTGGGGGAGCTGGTGGGACTGTGATCCAGTGGGGGCTTGCCTCATTTCCCAGACCTCTGGGGGTCTTCCTGTCCAACCAAGCTATGAATACAAAAGCAGAGGCCACCAAGTCCCTCTAGGGCTTCAAATGCTGGCTAAATTGAAGCCTTCCTAGTGCCTTTTCCATCTGAGCTGGGTGTTGAGGACACTGCTGTGCTCCTGACCTGGCCCTGCCATTGTGGGGTGCAGTTAGGTTAGAGAGGTGGATATGTCATCAAGCAGCAAGACCTGTGATAGGGAAGCCCAGAGGAGGCACCTGTCCCCAGCCTGGGGTCAGTCAGGGAAGACTTCCTGAAGGAGACAAACATCTTCCATGGTCCCTTACTTGTGCTCTCACCTGCTTGTCTATCAGCAATCAGCTGAGCTGTACTTTGCTCCAGAAGCCTTCCCTGACCTCCAGGCTAGATCAAGCCATTTGATCATGGGTGGATCTAGAATCACCCATGCTTGAATCTTGTCTTTTGAATCTTGTCACAGCTGTGACTTAACGTCTACTTGACAGATAAGTAGGTTTGCATCTGTCTCTGGGAAAACAGGCACTGGATCCTTTTTTTTTTTTTTTTTTGCTGAGTTCCTTGCCTCCAGTACTATAGCTGCCTCTATGTGTATGTATGTGTATGTATACACACACATACATACATATATATGTGTATATATATGTATATGTGTGTGTATATATATATAGCTAGCTCTGGGCATGCGTTCACTGAGTGAATGAAAAAGGAAGGTGACATCCAAGTGGAGCTAAAGGAAGAGGGACACAATGGAGCAAAGGTCTGGAGATGGGGCCTAGCAAGGTGCCCTGGGGAGCTGCAGGTAGCTCAGTGTCCAGAAGCGTGTTGTGAGCCAGGAAAGGCTGGTGAGGGTAACACTGTGCCTGCCTGGCCCCATTGCAGAGCGTGGGAAGACACTGGTGCAGAAGAAGCCGACCATGTACCCTGAGTGGAAGTCGTCGTTTGATGCCCACATCTACGAGGGCCGTGTCATCCAGATCGTTCTGATGCGGGCAGCCGAGGACCCCATGTCTGAGGTGACCGTGGGCGTGTCAGTGCTGGCTGAGCGCTGCAAGAAGAACAACGGCAAGGCTGAGTTCTGGGTGAGGAGCCTAGGTGTGCATGTGCCTAGGTGCGCCGGTATGCTGAGCAACATGGTTTGCAGAGTGTGACTCTGCGTTACATGAGCCTGGGCTCCAGTCTCGCCTCACTGAACCTTTGTCTCCGCATCTGTAAAAGGGACCTACAAAAAGTCCCTACCTCAGGTCGGTGGTCAGATGAAGTGGCTGTGTGTTGGATGTGTTCTGACTGATCTTAGGATGCCAAGGCCAGAAGAGCACCCCTCCCCCTTGGGTCACTTATGGGATCTTGTAGCCAAGATGCCTTAACAGGGAATGGCTCTGTGGTCAACCTCCAGGGAGGGTGAAGGGGGACTGGGAAGGAGAGGAGCAGACACAGGTGTGCACCCACCTGCAGCCAGGCAAGCAGGAACACCCAGGAGCTCCTTGCTGTGCCCTCTCTCCATTCTCACAAGGGACAGTGTCAGCCACCAGGCCTAGATCCTGGGGGAAGTAGGGGAATTGAAGCTTGGTACCTGGTAGCGTAGTGGTTACGAATTGGGCTGCGAACCTTAAGGTCAGCGGTTCGAAACTACCAGCCGCTCCGCGGGAGAAAGATGAGGCTTTCTACTCCCGTAAAGATTTACACCCTCGGAAACCCTGTACAGGGTCGCTATGGGTCGGACCCGACTCGATGGCACTTAACAACAACAACAACAACCTGTTCTCAGGAGCATCCAGTGTGTATGGGGAGACTGGAAATACAAAGAGGGGAAGAGGGGAAAAATCAAGGTGGACTTCATGGAAAAGGCGAGCTTTTAAAAATAAAGTGCCTGCAACCCAGGATGGGTGTGTTAGTATGCATGTGTGTCTGTACATAGGGGGACAGAGTGCTGCCATTCCAAGTCCTTATTGAGGGGGCAGCAGGACTGAGGGTGGGGAGTTTCCCTTCCTGCTTTGCTCCTGGGCCATGTGGCCTGGCTGCATGTGGGCTGGATCCTTTCACTTCCCTAAATGTAATAATACCCCTTGGGGAGGGGGAGGGGAGGGGCCCTACCCACACTGGGCAGCCAGGTGTCCAGTGAGGCTGCCAGGCCTGGCTTGGCCTCAAGAGGCCAAACATGGGGGCGGGTTCTGAGTCTAATTTGGCCCAGACCCGCCCTCATTGACCTTGTCCCTTCCCTCACCCCCATCCCCACCACCCTACAGCTAGACCTTCAGCCCCAGGCCAAGGTGTTGATGTCAGTGCAGTATTTCCTGGAAGACGTGGGTAAGCCCCTCTCCACCTGGGCTGGGTCTTAGGGCCTCCTCTGCCAGGTTCAGAAGCCAGCGCTGGGGCTGTAGTTAGGAAAGCAGCCCCCATCACGGGATCTGTCCAAGCCTCAGCATTACTGCCTTCTCAGGCCCTGGGGTTCACCTCACCATCCTTTGGCCCCCAGATTGCCAACAGTCTATTCGTAGTGAGGAAGAGGCCAAGTTTCCTACAATGAACCGCCGTGGAGCCATCAAACAGGCCAAAATCCACTACATCAAGAACCACGAGTTCATTGCCACCTTCTTTGGGCAGCCCACCTTCTGTTCTGTGTGCAAGGAATTCGTCTGGTGAGGGCTGGCTGCACTGGCCGGGATGTGTTACAGGGCCCGGGATGGCTTTGAGACCTGGGGTTCTCCCTCACTCACTGTGCCTTGTGAATTTGCCTTTCAGGGGTCTCAACAAGCAAGGCTACAAATGCAGGCGTAAGTGTCTCCACAGCCCATTTTGTATGTAAACCCATGTGCACATATGCCTGACAGTGCCCGTGTGTTCACAGGAATGCCTGTGTCTCTGTTGGGACTGTGTGCTGAGTGTGTGTTCAGGAGATTTGTTATGGTAGAGTGTATAGGTGTATGAAACCTATACAATATAGGTGTATGATAACTATATACAATATAGGTGGATGATACCTATATAATATAGGTGGATGATACCTATATAATATAGGTGGATGATACCTATATAATATAGGTGGATGATACCTATATAATATAGGTGGATGTTACCTATACAATAGCTACATTCAACTGGAAGCAGGTTGTTCCTGCTCACAAAAACCAGTTTTCTATCTCTCTTCTCAACTCTGTGTTCAGTGACATCACATTGGTAGCCTGAAATCAGTCATGCTGGGAGTATTTACACAGTGGAAATTGGCTACCAAATAGAACTCTCTTCCTCAGCGAACCAGTGATTAGGCATTTACTGACATACCACTGGCTGCACGTGTGCTCCTGTTTACATTACGTTCGTCTCCTGCTTACGTTATATGTTTGTCTCTGGATACACATGTCAGAACTCTTCTCCCTGAAGACACCTGCAGTGTCTGGTGTCAGAGGGGTCGTGGTAATGAGCATATGTTCTGGAGCTAGGCTGCCTGGGTTTGAATCCCAGCTCTGGTACTTCTCAACTGTATGGCCTTAACTCTGTGCCTCAGATGAATAATAGAGTTGTTGTGAAGACTGAAAGAGATAAAATATGTAAATCTTGTATTTTCAGTGCCTGGCACGTAGTAAACATTAAACATAAGTAGGTTATTGTCATTTATCACATGTGCTGTGTATGTGTGTACAGGTATCTTGGTTGGGGTGTGTCTGTGTGTGGGGGCGTTGGAGAATACTTAGGAGCTGTTTACTATCCTGGGAGGGTAGGAAAGGGACAGGGATTCTCCCATCTTGAGCACTCCCTAGACTCTGAGACCCTTCAGACTAGCCCCATCCTTTCCAGGCCCCTCCTGCCAAGGTTTGCTGGAGGAGAGAGGAACCCTGCTCTGGCCCAAGGCCTGTGTGAGGGTGAGGGTGAGGGTGTGGGCGGTCAAGGAGAACGGTGGCTTTGTGTTAAGGGCTGGACTGGGCCAGCAGGCACCAGCTCATAGGCTCTGCCTCCTCCCTGTGCCCTCCCAACTCCTTCCGGGCCTGCGCCTCCTCAAGAATGCAACGCTGCTATCCATAAGAAATGCATTGATAAGATCATCGGCCGGTGCACCGGCACCGCAGCCAACAGCCGGGACACCATGGTGAGGCTGAGTCCAGGGCAGAGTCCTGAGAACCTGGTGGGCTTGGCTAGGTGGGAGGGATTTGGGCTAGCCCCACCCTTGCCCTGTGGGGCTCACCCTCCCCATTTTTCTTTACCCTTCCTTGCCTCCTGCCTTGACTCTTGGGACTTATGGTCCCCAGTGGAGCCTTCTTGGGCATCTTAACTATCCATGAGGTTGAGGGAAAGGTAGGAGCTGAAGAAGGACGTAGAGTTGGCATGTAACCCTTGAACTCTGATCCCCACATCAGTTCCAGAAAGAACGCTTCAACATCGACATGCCACACCGGTTCAAGGTGTACAACTACATGAGCCCCACCTTCTGTGACCACTGTGGCAGCCTGCTCTGGGGGCTGGTGAAGCAGGGATTAAAGTGTGCAGGTGAGTATTGCCCACGGCTGGATGAACAGGACGTGCCCAGCTGGGGCTCCACTTACCTGCACCTCTAAAACACCTAACAACGAACTAACTTTAACACTAATGCCACCTTGGCCCTGAGGAATGCTGCCCAAACCTCCTTCAGGGATGTCATATGGGTGAGACCTCTGTGGCCCTCCCTGCTGGCCTGCCAGTTACCTGTTTAGTGACACTAGACAGGTGACCTCACTCTTCCGAGCCTCAGCTTCCTCGAGTGTAAAATGGAAGTGTGAGTAGGACCAGGCGAGTCGCTCTGAGGAGCAAGGAGAGGAGTATGCAGAAAGTGCTTCTCCACAACTTGCCACACAGTAGCGGGTGCTCAGCAAACACTGATGCCTCCCTCACAGAGTCTCCCATAGTTCACTAGGCTTCCAATTTACAGGAGATCCATTGAGGGGAAGTGACTCTTCTAAGTTGGCCCAGACATTCTTTGGAGGGCTTAGAATTAAACTCCATGTCTTCTGGTTTTTCTCCTTTAAATTATGAAACAGTGAAAGTGTCTTCCATATTTTTTCCCTAAAGAGGGGAAACCCCTGCAAATTTCCCTTACCTCCCCACCCCCCCAAAGCCCTCCTTACTCCTGCTCCCTCCTCTGCCCCTTGCATGGTTCTCCCAGAGCCTGATTGCTTGTTCTGATGGCCCTGCCTCTTCCTCTCCTCAGACTGTGGCATGAATGTACACCATAAGTGCCAGAAAAAAGTGGCCAACCTCTGCGGCATCAACCAAAAGCTCTTGGCTGAGGCATTGAACCAAGTTAGCCAGGTGGGCAGTCCCTTTGGGGACCCTGGACCCAGGGCAGCGAAGGGGTAGGGGACAGTCTCCATGGGGAACTGTGGATTATTTATCAAGTAAGTCATTGGGAAGGTAGGATTCAATTTCCACAATTTGGTCTATAATCAATGCCTTCCATACCACCGAGGCATCTCTGTGTTGTTGGAATTACATGTGTGTACCACCTGAGGGTCTGAACTCTGACCCTGATGTCTCCCATCAGTATTAAGGGTAAAGTTAGAGTTGAGGATCCCAACTTTGGGCTGGGGGTTCTGATGACAGTGTGACTGTCAGACTTCTCCCCTACCTTCCCCCACTCCTCAGAGATCCTCCCGCAAGTCAGACTCGGGGTCTTCAGAGAGTGTTGGGGTCTACCAAAGTTTCGAGAAGAAGCCAGGAGTCTCTGGGGATGATTCCACAGGTGAGGCTGAACCTGCTTCTTACACTAAAGTCCCTGCACCCTGCCAAGGCAAAGGATATGGCCAGCCTCCTTCCTCCTGTTGAGTGTGACCTAGGCAGAGGCAGTGCTCCTGAGGAGGGAGGCCCCCACCCACTCCTTGACCCAAGGGAAGGAAAGTTGGCCAGGCAGGATCCTGAGTCTGAGCCACCATCTCTTGGGCAGACACCAACGGGACCTATGGCAAGATCTGGGAGGGCAGCAGCAGGTGTACCATTGAGAACTTCACCTTTCACAAGGTCCTGGGTAAAGGCAGCTTCGGGAAGGTAAGGGGATTATGTGACCCTGAGGCAGCCTCAGAGGCTGGCTCAGGAACTCAGGAGCACCTATTTCCAGCTGCATCCTGATTTCTTCCTTGCTGGGGGGTGGGAGCTGGGAATTTGCAGGTGGGACCATGACACCCTGGCCTCCCTCCAGGTGCTACTTGCAGAGCTGAAGGGCAAAGGGAGGTACTTTGCTATCAAGGCCCTCAAGAAGGACGTGGTTCTGATTGATGATGATGTGGAGTGCACCATGGTGGAGAAGCGGGTGCTGGCACTCGCCTGGGAGAACCCCTTTCTCACCCATCTCTTCTGCACCTTCCAGACCAAGGTGCCCATCCCTTCTGTTGTCACTGTCCTGTCCTCACTTAGCCTCTCACACCATAGAGGCAGGACCTTGTCTCCCCTCAGGCTCTCCAGGCAAGGCGGTGTCTCCCCTAGACTTCTTAGAGTAGGGCTTATCTTCCCTCTCAGACCACTTAAGGTGGGACCATCATCCCCTTCACACCCACCCCAGGGCAGAGTTGTTCCCCTGAGCCTAAGGCCTGTCTCCCCCATGCCATGTTGGGGCCTGCCCTCAGTGGCCCTCAGTGAGGGTGCTTCCTGTTCATCCTTGTGCCTTACCACCCTCCCTGACCCCAGGACCACCTGTTTTTTGTGATGGAGTTCCTCAACGGGGGGGACCTGATGTACCACATCCAAGACAAAGGCCGTTTTGAACTCTACCGTGCCACGTATGTAAGGGTTCTGTGAGGGAAGGGGCATATGGGTCAGAACCACCACCTGTCTGCCTTCCGTTCTTTCTTCCATGTCCCTGGAGATGTCAGCCTGGCTAGAACTTGATGGTGGATTTATGGGTATCCTGAACCCACTATGTTGGAGGCATGCTAGGCCTTCCTTGGGTTGTACACAGAGCAGCCTTTCAGATGGGACTTGCACAACATGTTTGTCCCTCCTGTTTATGTTGCACCCAAATGTGTGTGTATGAGTATATGTGATCTATATGAATGTATACACACCTATGATAAAGAGAATGATCTCATTTGGAGTTTTCCTTTATAATTTCCTTTAATGCCTTGGCTGCCAGTCCGACTTGCCTGATACAAGACATGCCTGATCAGACCCAGGTTGTCTGTGGAGTTATTTGCAGCATTTCCTGCCACTGGGGGTGGGGGGAGGGGGTGGGCACAGGCAGAAGCAGAGTGGCCAGTAGAAATCACATAACACTTTGTCTCTCTTGCCCAGGTTTTATGCAGCCGAGATCCTCTGTGGACTGCAGTTTCTACACAGCAGAGGAATCATTTACAGGTGCGGGGTCAGGGCAGGAGGGTAGGAGGATCCCACCTATCAGTACTCTTGAGTGCTCTGAGCTGGGCCTCATCTCAGCTTGCAGTCAATCTGTAGATGGTATTTACCAGAAGTCCCTAGTCCCATGGTAGAATGAGGCTCGTACAGTTCCATGGCCCAGAACTCTCTGCCTCCATGCTGAGAGGGGCAGTGCCCGGGCCAGGAGGGCATACTGACTGCTACAATGGCTGCTCTTTTCACCATTTTTTCCCTTCCCTTTAGTATTTCTATTTTCCCACACATACCATTTACTGTCCTGGTGTGGCACTGTAGGATAAGCACTGGCTTGCTAACCACAAGGTTGGCGGTTCAAACCCACCAGTTGCTTCTTGGAAACCCTAGGCGTGATTGCTATGAGTTAGAACCGACCAGACAGCCTTAACAACAGCAACCACCGTAGTCATTCACTGGCATTGATTACAGCCTTCCAGCTGTGCAACAAGTTTCAGCTCCTTTTCTGAGTTGTTTCTCCATCATGTACATAAACTCACTGCCCCTTAGGGTGCTGATCCTAGCTGAGCTACAGCTCTGAGTGCTGATGTGTGCTAAAGATGTGCTGTCAAGTGAAAAGCTAATTGGTGGGACATTGTGTGCTGAATCTTAGGTTTAAAAAGGTTGGGGTGAGATGTACATTGTGATGTGGCTGGATGTGTCTACAATTGCTCTGAGGAGGGTCTAGGGGTCGAGGGCACAGGAAGAAGGACTTTGCAGTACTTAAACTTGTTACCATGAATATGTATTATCTGTACAAAGAGCTGATTACTTAGTAATAGATATTTTTGGGGTGATGTGGTATCTCATTGGCCAAAAAAAAGTAGAGAACAACAAATGCTGGTAAGACTGGAACTCTTTTATACACTGTTGGTGGGACTGCAAAATGGTACAACCACTATGAAAAACAGTATGGTGCTTCCTCAAGAAGCTAAAAATAGAAATACCATATGATCCAGCAATCCCACTCCCAAGTATACAGCCTAGAGAAATAAGAACGTAACACCAATAGACATCTGCACACCCACGTTCATTGCGGCATTATTCACAGTAGCAAAAAGATGGAAACAACCTAAGTGGATCATCAGCTAATGAACGGAAAAACAAACTGGTGTATTCATACAATGGAATTCTACGCAACAATGAAGAATAATAATGAATCCTCGATACATCTCACCACAGGGACCCGGGGATGAATGTGGAGGACATTATGTTAAGTGGATGAAGTCAAACACAAAAGGACAAAATATTACATGAGATCACTATTGTGAAAAGTCAAAAATAGGTGTACATGCAGAAAGAAACATTCTTTGATTTGATGGTTACTAGGAGGGGAGGGAGAGGGAGAGGGAGAGGGAGAAACATTAACTAGGTAGTTATTATGATTCATAGCAACTCTGTATTGTGACTCATAGCCACCCTGTATAGCGGCTGGTGGGTTTGAACCGCCTACTTTGCAGTTAGCAGTCAGTGCTTATCATGCATCACTACACCAGAACAACTAGACAGTTGTTGTTAAGTGCCACTGAGTCACTTCCGACTCATAGTGAGCCTGTATAGGATTTCCAAGGATGGCTGGTGAGCTTGAATAGATAGCTGTTGTTCAGTTGATTCCAACCCATAGCAACCCTCTATAGGGTTTCAGAGGAGGAGCTGGTGAACTTGAACCGCCGACCTTGCAGGTCAAACGGCTTTGCAGTCTAGCGCATTAATCCACAGTGCCACACCAGGACTCCTGAATAAACAGCAGTCCAGTGTATATCCTACGGTGCCACACCAGGACTCCAGAGTTAATTCTGGTGACAGGAAAGGCAATACACAATATGGGGAAGCCAGTACAGTGTGATCAAAGCAAAGCAAGACACTGCTGCTATGCAAGCTGAAAGGGTAATGACAGTACTATAGTTACCCTTTAAGTTTACATAGCAGCAGTGTCTTTCTTTGCTTTGGTCACACTGTGCTAGCATATGGAGTCCTGATGTGGCGCTGTGGGCTAATGCATTAGACTGCAAAGTCGTTTGAACTGCAAGGTCAGTGGTTCAAGCTCACCAGCTGCTCCTTGGAAACCCTATACAGGATTGCTATGGATCGGAATCGACTCGATGGCACTTCACAACAACAACAGTAATGTAGAGAAGTCCTGGTGTGGCACTGTAGGGTAACCACCGGACTGCTAGCCACAAAGTTCGAGACTAAGAGCACAAGAGAAGACCCATTTAAAATGGCTTAAAAACAGAACAAAATTCAAAGTCAAAAAGGCCAGACTTACTGTCAGAAAGAGACTAGAGGAATCCCTGCAACTATTGTCCTGAAAAACCCAACTTGTAACTGAAGATATTCCTGGAGGCTACCTTCCAGCCAAATAATAGGATTACAAAAAAACGTGAAGAATGTACTTCTCAGAACAATCAACTATATGACACCAAAAGGGCAATATTTGCCAAAAACCAAAGACAAGAAGACAGGGAGGGAAAGGGAAACCAAACAAATGGCAGTGAGGAACCAGAGAGGAACTAGAGAGAATGCTGACATATTGTGGTCATCCAATGTCATGGAACAAGCTGTGTCTGAACTATGAACTATTGATTGGGAAAACTAATTTGCTTTGTAAACGTTCACCTAAAGCATAATAAAGTGTATATATATATATATATATATATATATATATATGACACTAATAATGACATTAAAAAAAAGTAAATAATGAGAATCAGGGATGGGGGAAGAGAGATGACAAGTCACATGAAGATCACCCAGAAACAGAAGTTCAAGGCAAGGACCTTTCTCCAGAGCCAATAGAGAAAGCTACCTCCATAAGCTGGTACCCTAAATTCAGACTTCTAGCCTCCTAAACAGAAAATAAATTTCTGTTTGCTAAAGCCAAAAAAACAAAGATATTCTTTTTAATTTGTGGAAACAGGTGAACCTGATCCTGAGAGCCACCTCTGCCACTGACTGGTGCGGAGACGCTAAGCAAGTGACACCATCTCTTTGAGCCTCGTTCTGGGCTCGGAGGAATAACATAGGATGTGTACAGCATAATCACACAGTAGGCAACGTGTAGGGCTCACATGTTTTTAGTCCTTTTCCCTCTTTTCTGCTGCTTCTCCTCCTCATTTCATTGCACCTTTGGGAAAGTCCTGGGGATACAAGGCTAAGAATAGGGACATGAGTTGTGGGTTGAGGAGGAGGCCCCTAATGACTGTCTTCTTCCCTCAGGGACCTCAAACTGGACAACGTGATGCTGGACCGGGAGGGCCACATCAAGATTGCTGATTTCGGGATGTGCAAGGAGAACGTATTTGGGGAGGGCCGGGCCAGCACCTTCTGTGGCACCCCTGACTATATTGCCCCTGAGGTGAGCTGGCACCTTCCTGGACCCCAGTCCACTCGGGTGAGCCAGATACGGCTTTCCAAGGGCAGTGATGCCCAAGCCAAGCCCCAGAGGATGGGGGGACCTGGCCAGGTTCATGCTCAGGGTTCCTCTCAGCTCCACCTGACCTGCCGCTCCTGCCCTAGATCCTGCAGGGGCTGAAGTACTCCTTCTCTGTGGATTGGTGGTCCTTTGGGGTCCTTCTCTATGAGATGCTCATCGGTCAGTCTCCCTTCCATGGTGATGATGAGGATGAACTCTTTGAATCGATTCGAGTGGACACACCACATTACCCCCGCTGGATCACCAAGGAGTCCAAGGACATTCTGGAGAAGGTGGGGGTCCCTGGGCTGGATGGAGCAGAGTAAGGGCTGGCAGAAACTGGGTCATGGGACTAGCGGCAGCTCCCTGTCTCTGGAATGACAGCCTTACTGATGCTTCAATCTGAATATCTTGTGGGTGTTGCTTCCTCACCATGCCCCACGACTCTCCTATCTGAGTACCATGCACGGAATCAGCCTGGCATGATGGTTAAGATCTCAGGGTCAGGAGGCAGACAGATCTGAGGCCAAATCCTGGCTCTGCTCCTGAGTAGCTAGTGACCTTGGGCAGGTGACTGACCTGTTTAGTCTCAGGCTCATCATCTACAATCCGGGGAGAATGAGAGAAGCTGTGATACTTGGTTATGTGCTGGAAGGCAGTAAACACTCAATAAGCAGGCACTGCTTCTCACAAGTCCCATTAGTCACCAGGAGTACAGCAGGCCAGAGACGCTGCCCTCAGCCCCAGAGCTCTGCAGGCAGTACCACTAGGCTGGGCAGGTTCCCTCTTGGTACTCCTAGACCTGCTGGGGGTTTGCTAAGGCTTCAATTTCCCACGGCCCTTGGGTGCTAACCAAGGCCCATGCTGGGTTGCAGCTGTTTGAACGGGAACCATCCAAGAGGCTGGGAGTGACGGGACACATTAAAATCCACCCCTTCTTCAAGACCATCAACTGGACCCTGCTGGAGAAGCGAGAAGTGGAGCCACCCTTCAGGCCCAAAGTGGTACGTGACCCTGCTCAGGATGGGGTTGCCCACCCATGGCCTTCTTTGCTCTATCTCTTTTCTGTGTTACTCAGTTTCCTCCCTCCCCCTTCTTCCAGTAAGTGTGGTCCTCCATTCTTCCCCTGGCATGTTCAGCAATTGCCTCTGTTCTTGTATTCTTACCATCTCTCCCCTCACTCAGTCATTCAACAAACATTGGAGACTGTGCATCCAGACATATAAGTATATAAGAGACTCTGCTTGGGAACTGGAGTTTAAGGTCTGTTCTCCTTCTTTCCATCCAATCCTTTTTCCACTGTTTGTTGAGCCCTTGTTGGGCTTCTCGGTGAAGTGAGAGACCTGGTTCTAGAATTGGAGGTGTCTCTGGCTAGACTGAGAGAGGACACTTGCACACTGATGATAATTTATGATACAAGACAACAGTACAAGTGATGTCACAAGACCATACAAGATAAACTTCTGTTGGGAGGGTCCGTCAGCAAGAACCCAGGATCCAGAGAATGGGATGGGGTCTGGCAGTATCCTTGGGAAAAGTGGGAGGTAAGCAGGGCTGGTGAGCTCAGGCCAGGCAGAAGAGAGCTGGAAAGCATTTCAGGTAGAGGAAGATGGTTTGCAGAATCTAATGAAGCCACTAAGGGACCATCAGGAGCAGATGCAGGTTGGAGCTGTAGTTCAAAGAACCCTGAATACCTAAGAAGTTGGGTCTCTGGCCTTCCCTCTATGGCTCCCTTTCTCTGCTTTGCTTCTCCTCCACCTGGGCCGCCTGTGTAATGTGCCCCCATTGGAACTTTGAGGAGATAGAGCCCATTCCCCTTCTCAAACGCTTCCTGGGCTGGGCCGGTAACAACCTTTTGATGCTAAAAGGGATAGAATGACTGCTGTGCTCTAAGCAAACCAGGGCAGTCATGATCAGTAGCAACAATAAACAGTGGAGGATTGGGGGTGAAGGTAGAGGCTATATATAGCAAGCCCAGAACCAAGAATGGATATGTGAGGAGGTAGGCCCAAGTTTTCAAAAGAAGCCAGAAATCTGGACTTTTTCTTTTTATGTCAGATTGCCTAATTTAAAAATAGTGGTTCAAATTCCTTTAACACTTTTAAGAGCTATTTGTATGGGATCAAACTGACAATAGCAACTGGAAATCCTTTAGGGATCAGTGAGTTTATGTTAATGAGGGGAGAAGTACTCACATAAGGAGGGTGCTCAAAGAATGTAATTAATGTCACTGAATTGTACATGTAGAAATTATTGAGTTGGTGTATGTCCTGCTGTGTATATTCCAATAACAATAAATAAAACCTTTTAAACCTCAAATTGTAAAACCACATGCTAGCCAAAATGGTTATTTTGGCTAGTTCAATTTGGCCTGGGGACCACCAGTTTGAGACCTCTGTATTACCATCTGATCATAACCTCAGGAGTAGAGGCCAGCAACCTTTTCCTGAAAATGGCCTGAGGGTGAGTATTTTAGGCTCTGCAGGCCAAGTGGTCTCAAAGTGGCACCCATAGGCATGTCAGTGAATGGACATGGCTGTGTGTGCTAATAAAACTTTTTTTTACAGACACTGAAATTTGAATCTCATTTAATTTTCATGTTATTAAATATTATTCTTTTGCCTTTTTTCCCAACCATTTGAAAACAACCATTCCGTAGCTTACAGACCACACAAAAATGGGTAGTAGGAAGGATCTGGGCCATAGGCTGTAGTTTGCTGGCCTCCTGCCCCGGACATTCACCCTTCCTTACCCAGGCTTAGAGTTCCATGCATGGTCCCCTCAGCCCCTTGGGGAAGCAGTATCTGCCTTTCTCCTGGGGCTCCTCTCAGGCACAAATAGAAAATACTTCCTTTTCTTTTTCAAATAATTTATTTTAGCTTTGTTGAGAACATTCACAGCAAGTCCTATATCAAGTGAACAGTTTCCACATGTCCAACTCAGTGACTTAACTATATTCTTCAAATTGTGCTACCATTCTCACTCCCCTTTCCCAAAGTGTCCCTCCCTCATTCATAATAGTCTCTGCTCTCTAAGATGCTTGCCTAACCTTTCAAGATGCTGTTGTCAGCGTGATCTCAGATCTTTAGAAGAGCACAATGCTCAAGGCAGACATTCTTTACTAGTTAAGCTAAACTACTGTTAGGTTTAAAGACTTTGGGGGTATTTTTGGCTTAAAAGTTTGTTTAAAGTTTAAAGATTACTTCAGAGCAATCGTTTCAGGGATTCATCCCGCCTCTTTGACTGCAGAAAATCTGGATTCCATGAGAATTTGGAATTCTGTCCCCCTTTTGATCAACATTCTTCTATGGAATCACTGTCCAAAACGGTCAGTAATAGTAGTCAGGCCCCATCCGATTCTTGAATCTCATGGCAACGGAGGCGGTTATTCTTGGAGGCAATTGTTGTTAGTGGTATCTATTCATGGTTCACACTCATAGTGACTCTGTACAGGGTTTCCCAGGAGTGGCTGGTGAATTTAAACCACTGACCTTGTGGCTGACTCCTACCTTGTGATCCAGTGTGTATCCGATAGGACCAGACCAGAACTTATAGGGGCTATTAGGAGTTCTCTTGTTTCCTAAATAAGGATGGTTCTGATCTGACCCTGAGGCAGGAGCCTGAGGTCTTTAGGAGGCTATTGTGTTCTTAAGCATAGACTCAGTGGCCCTGTATAGGCAGTCCCGAGAAATTCAGGAGCATTTGGAAGGTAAGGCCTTATGTCCTGCTCATCCGCCTCTGCCCACAGAAGTCTCCTGGGGATTACAGCAACTTTGACCAGGAGTTCCTGAATGAGAAGGCACGGCTTTCCTACAGTGACAAGAACCTCATCGACTCCATGGACCAGACAGCATTTGCAGGCTTCTCCTTCGTGAATCCCAAATTTGAGCGTCTCCTGGAAAAGTGAGGTCCTTACACATGGTCTCCAACCCATCCCAGCCAGAGAGCCTCAGTCAGCCAGTGCAGCACTCACCTGGGCAGAGCAGGCTGCATGGTAACCCTTCATGTGTCCCTACCTACCCACACCCCCACAATAAGCAACAGTGTGATTGTTGTGATTTCTGCTGCTGGTTTTCCCTTCCATCCCCCCTCCCCCGAGGGGCCCATGCCCCTGCCTGGCTGGGCGTTTATGGTACTTCCTCTGTGAACTGTGTGTGAATTTGCCTTTCCTCTGCCCTCAGAGGGAAACTGTAAATCCTGTGTTTCATTACTTGAATGTAGTTATCTATTGAAAATATATATTATATATATATATGCACACATATATATATATAATAAGCTGTATATATTGCTCAGTAGAGGAAAAAACATGTGGGGAACTGCTGATGTGTTGATCTTTTTTTAAAAAATGTGTGTGACCAAAGGGGGTGGGGGGAAGGGGGGAAGAGAAGCACAACTTATTTGAGCCACCAGGCTCTTTCATTTGTATGTCTAAATAAACACCAAATCGTACCAGTCTAGCTGTTGGGGTATGTTTGTCCCAGAAAGTTAGTTTCAGCTGCTCCCTTCTGGTAGCTCTGTGCTGGTAGCTACACAGACAGACTTCTGGGCCTTCATGCAAATATGTTTGTATTTATAGGTTTCCTCTGGTTCTCAGGTCCTGGGCCTAAAGCAGAGACTCTTCTGGTGGCTGCAGGGGGCCCTGGATGTTTCAGAGGGGTCCTGGAAAGATGGAAGCAGTCCCATCTTTCTGTCTCAGGAAAATGAGGGAGCAGTCAAAAGTGCTGAGAGGTGAAAGGTCTAGCCAGGACATCCTGGGCATTAGTAGAAACTTCGAGAATAACCCTAGACTAGGCTGGAGGACTAGTAAGAGGAAAGATAACGTGCTAAGGTTTCAGGCAGGCCTGGATTCAGATCCTGTTTTTGTTGTTGTTGAGTAGCTAAAGATGTGGGCCTGTCATAAAATTATCTTAAGCCTCAGTTTCCTCCTCTGTACAAAGGGGACAAGGCAAGTTGACTAACGTAATGCTACTTCTCTTTACTGTTAATCCCTATTTTGCCACAGAGGGGTCTTGTCTGAATTCTAGAAGCTATTTTCCAGGAGCCTTTGCCCACCTGGGGAAGGAAGGGGTAGGGTGGGATTAGAGTGGGAGGTAAAAGTGTTAAAAGGCACTCTCAGAAATGAAGGTGGCAGCCTGAGTGACCACTGCCGGGCAGTGCTGGTTGGGCACCACTGCACCTCCACTTTCCCTCCTAGCTAACACAGTGTCTTCCAGCTTCTGGAGTCTCCTTCTCCCTGCTCCCCATTTCTTCCTTTCCGCCTCTCTCCCTCCCACTTCCTCCTGGGGTTCCGTTTGCTCTGCTCCCAGGAGCTCAGGTCTCAGGCAGAGGCCCCGCCCTCCAGCCCTCAGGTCCAGCCCCTGGAGGTGGGCGAGGCCCTCTCAGCGCCTGATTGGCTGGCCCTGGCAGCCAAGCAGCTGATTTCCAGCAAGTACATTTTTCTAGGCTGAGGTACAAGTTTCCACAGCTGGAGAGGAGGGGATGGAGTGGGACTGTCAAAGGCCAGGAGAGGGGGCTGCAGGACCCCCCTCCCACCTGGCTGCTTGCCTGGAACTGCAGGATTGGGGGGTGGGGGCAAATTGTCCTTAGAAATATTTCTCTCCCCTGCCTACCCACCATGCACTCACAAACATTTGTGGAATCTTTGCTCTGCTACCTGCAACAGCAGTAAAAACCCACAAAGTGGTGACCTTTGCCTTGGGCTCATAGTTGAGTGGGGAGACGGCATGGTATAGGCTGTGATGGGGAATGCTGGGGCTGTGGGAGTTCAGAGGAATGACTGGGGTCCCCCTGTCTTCCACCCCACCACTATACACACAAGTCCCTAGAGTCCTGGGCACCATCTAAATGGTTCAAAACAAGAATGTGTTGCTTACATTTGGAAAGTCTCACCATCATGCAGCTCTAAGGCAGAGCCTTCCACCTGAGCACCCTCCTTCCCTGAGGAAGGGAGGAAACCATAGTCTGTCTGTCAGAGGCAGTGGAAGGAATATGGTTGCTGGAATCTGAAGCCTGGGGTGTAAGCTCCACTTTGCCACTCATAGTGTGACCTTGACTAATTGCTTTATCGGGCCTCGATTTACTCTGAGAAAATGGAGCCATTATACTGTACTCCAAGCCCTGGGCACCTCTTACAGAATGATGCTACTTGTCTGATAATACTGGGCACAGCGCAGGAAAGGACAGGAGCTGGGCCTGTGGGACAGCCCTGGACAGAAGCGGCTGCTGGGGACACTGCCAAACTGCCTGGGAGGCTGTGCAGCTCCAGGCTTGTTCCCAGCCATTGGGTGGGTGCCTGGCCTGACCCTGTGGCCTCAGGAAATGCCTGTCATGGCTGGGCTCCGAGACATATTTTCACTGGAATCTGGGGGTCAAGAAGGCGATATCCCCCTTTTTCCACCAAGTAGGTATGCAAGCAAAGTCGGGACACGGACCCCCATTGCACCAGCCCAGTAAGAAACCAGGACCCACCAAAAAGATGTGCCTGGTGCAAAATGGTACAGCGCCCAACAGAGGGAAGTAGAGACAAAGGGTCGCACCGTCCCAACCCACCCGTTAAAGTGTACTTCGCCCCCACTCCTTTATCCCCGCTGGACCTTGCTGGGCGTGGCTGGCGGCCATGCCTCCGCTGGGACACAAGAACTCTAAACAAGGTGTGCTATGAGGAGACTTCAGCGGTGGGGGTTGGGGGTTGAGGGGGGACAGCGCCTTCACTTACAGGTCAAGGAGGGCAGCGAGATCTGGAACTGCTAGCCTTCGCCACTGCCAGCATGGCACAGCCAGCCACGCAGACCAACGTCTTTAGCAACTGCAGTTCGGCCACGACCAATACCAACACGTGTTCCGAGATCCTCAAGCGCCGCCTGGTGGGCCTGCATCCGGTCACAAGGCTGCGCTACGGAACCACGCGTGCGCGAGGTGTGGCAAAGCCTCCAGCGGGGCAACACTGTGTCATCCTCTAAAACTAATCCACCAGCGTCAGTGTGCTCAAGAAATGTAACACGGCTCGCTATGCTACTTTCCAAGGCCTATCTGGCTACCAGACCCGAAGCCTGGTACGTTGTCACCGTCGGCTGCGTCTACGTCCAAGAGGATTCTAAGGGAGCCCGCGACTAGAGAAAGCTCCACAAACAGTCACAGCTTGTGCCAGTCTGAGAACTCCAGGCTAATGGCCAACTAGACGACCTGGATCCTATCCCCTATCCACCTAAAAATGTACCTCCAGCCTTTCATGCTTCGGTCCTCTGGAGCCCATAATCTGGACACAGCGCCTCAAACTGGCAGCACAGACCTCAAAGGCTACCAGAGAGGTGGTCGGTGGTGGTGGTGGTGGTTATGTGCCGTGGAGTCGGTTCCGATTCATAGCGACCCTGTGCAGGCTTTCCAAGGCTGTAAATCTTTACGGGAACAGAAAGCCTCATCTTCTGCAGAACAGCTGGTAGTTTTGAACTGCTGACCCTGTGGTTAGCAGCCTGATTCGTAACCACTACTCTACCAGAGCCCCTGGAATAAAAGAAAAGAATCTCCAGTGATTCTAAAGGAGCTTCCTTGGGTGTTTTGCCCCTCTGCTTGTATTGCCTGAAGACTGGGGAAGTCTTTGCAGCTTTTCTGGACTATATTGGGACCTCTCAAGGAGGAAGTGAATGGTGGGAAACAGGACTCTTGTGCTTTGCTTGAGATCCTCAAGGGTTAAAGGTGCCTAGCATTCATGAGGCTCTGTACCTTGAGCCATGGAGAATTCTAGGAGTAACCCCACCCTTGGCATCAGAGGACAGAGGGTAAGGAACTGCTTGAGAGTAGAGGAGTGTGGAATTGTTGGGGATTTCCTATTCTGACTCCTCTCCAGGATACAATTTCCCTTACAGTTTTCCTTCCCTTGCTTTCAAGGTATCTTGGTAATAGGGTGTCTCCCATGGGCTCTCTTAACATCCACACTTCCCCATGTTGACTCTAAGGAAGAGCCCCTGGGCAAAACTCTGTCTCCTCCCCTGAATCCCCAGAGCTGGCAGTCTTGCTTTCCATAAAACACAAAAATGGCACTGTCAAAAACAAAAAGATATGTCTGCCCTGCACTCAGACACAGGGGGCGGGGGTTTGGAGTATGGCTCTGCTGTCAGACTGCCCTGGGTTCACATCCTCGGGGTTCCTAGTGTGATCTTGGTGAGTGACCTAAACCCTTGGAGCCCGATTTCCTCAACTGCAAAATGGGGATAAGCATGATACATTGCTGCTTGTGAACTGTGGTGTCTGTAAAGCATACAGTAGATGCTTAGCAAACAGCCACCACAGTGACTCTCGATGGGATGAAATATACAACATGAAGGCAGCCTGCCAGCTTCACTTTAGAATCTCCAGCCTGCTTTTGGCAGTTCTGATGAAAAGCTAAAATGCACACACACCCTGGCCGAGCCATTCCTCTCCTGAGCAGAGCTACCCAGAGACACTTAGCCCACAGGCCCCAGCCGACTGGCCCAAGATGTTCATCCATGTATGGACTAATTGGAAAATACTGGAAGCAAGCACCTACAGCCTGGTGGTACTATAAGGTAATCACTGGACTGCTAACTACAAGGCCAGCAGTTCAAACCCACCAGCCACCCTGCAGGAGAAAGATGAGGTTTTCTACTCCTGTAAAGATTTACAGTATTGGAAACTCTCTACAGAGTCGCTGTGAGGTGGAATTGACTTGATGGCAATAGAACTGGCTTTTCAATTTGGAAGTAAGCACTACACCTAGCAGCAGCGGAGCTGGTTAAGTACTTTTCCTGGTGTGAAAAATGGTGCAGGACCAAGAACTCAGCAAAATACAGCAAGTTAGAGCATCCAAGGTTCAGCACAATTCTGTCTCTGTGGTTCCATGTGGGAACTGGGGAAGTACCCAAGGTCTGGCAGCACAGGCAGCGTTGC